CTTACATATGCAAATTAACCGCCATTTTGTTGGCAGTTAACTGTCAATCTTAGTTGGCAGTTAACTGTCAATCTTAGTTGGCAGTTAACTGCCAATCTTAGTTGGCAGTTAACTGCCAATCTTAGTTGGCAGTTAATTTGCATATAGCCCTGATTAGCCAATGAAAAGGGTATTGGTCGTACGCCAATTACCATTTTTGTCTTTTATTAGATAGGATACCTGTTGCCATAAATAAATAAATAAATAAATAAATAAATAAATAACAATATTTAGATGTGATGTGAAAATTCTTTACTCTATTTATAGATAAGTAGCTTTTCCTTACATTTTAGCAATTTAACACTTAGTCGTGGGGCAGCAGTTGCTATCACTCAATGGGATGCTTTTGGATAGTACCAAAGTATTACAACTTAGATCTTTAGAAAAAGGACAGTCAAAATTGAACAGTGGAAGGATGGTAAGTTGTACTGGTTGGTCTGACACATTTTTCAAATGGTTCATGTGGGCTCCATTTACCCTGTAAATAACAGTCTAGGGAGCTCTGGTTTCCCACCATATTCAGACTACCAAGCAGTCAAATACTATCTTTATAATACTCTGCTTTTTGATCTCTTGCTATGCACAACATGCTAAGATGTTCATCCACTACCTCTCACTCCTACAAAACTCTCTGATGGTCCTCAAACTTTAGGGTTCATTGGGATCTCTGGAAACTCTTATTCAAACATAGATTAGTGGGTCCCACCCCCAGACTTTCTAATTCAGTAGGTCTGGGGTAGGACCCAATAATTTGCATTTCTAAGAACTTCCCAGGTGATGTTGATGCTAATGGTCATGGGACCACACTTTGAGAAACACTGCATTAGGCAAAAGTAACACATTGTTATTTCTACCTTAAACCCCATAGGATTAGTAAGGATATGTGTCATAAAGAAACATTTCTACTTCTCTTACCCTGCTGAGTGTACTCATTTCAAGAAATACTTCGTTCATAGCCTTATTAGGATTATAAGTCTCATAAACCTTTCTTAATGCCACCTAGTAGTTCTAAACATTGCCTAAAAACTAGAGTTAACATTAAAGCTTTTCTATAGACACTGAAGCCAAAACTCCATTTCACCCAATTCAATTAGGATCTTGGGGAGAGGGGAGGAGAGTGGGGAAGAAGAGTCAGATGCCAGTATTCCTTTAAAACTCAGGTGATTCTAGTGTACAACCAGGACCAAGAAACTCGCTTCGTCTTCATTTGGCCAAACACTGCACTAAAAAAATATTATAACATCTATAAAATTGTCACCAACTCCTTTGAAAAGTCATAATAATGTATGAGAAGAATGCACACAATGAGATCTTAAGTGATCAGCAAAGGAGATCAAAGCTGATGGAGACATGACAACCAAATTCTAGTTCACAGCCTAATTTTCAGGTTCAAATGTCCTATCCAGACCTATGTCTCCTTTATTCCCAACATTAAAAAACATTTCTGAGCATTTTCTTCAACTTCAACAAATCCTATTATGTCACAGAGAACTGTCAGCATTAAACAGGACCAGAACCTAATGACTCTTGGAGGTCATATTACAAAGGTAGAAACAGAGACCCACAAAATCCACATGAGCACTCCAAATTTTCACAGAAAATTAGTCTATGCATACAACAAACTGCCTATCTCTAAGGTTCCTTCCAATTATATCCTTCTTGCCTACGATTCTGTCATAGAATTAAACAGTGAGGCGAGGTGGATGACTCTCCTGGGAGGGTGAAAAGGAACAGAAAAAAAAAAGGA